GGAGACCAATGGGCAGCCAGTGCAGCTCGCGGGGTACTGAGGTGCATCCACAATCGCTCGCACGGCTGCATTCTGGACAAGCTGAAGTCTTCGAACACTCTTCAAGGGCAGCCCCATGTAGAGTGCATTACAGTAATCCAGTCTTGAGGTCACGAGGGCGTGAGTGACTATCCAAAGGGCCTCCTGGTCCAAGTAGGGTCGCAATTGGTACACCAGGTGAACCTGGGCAAAGGTCCCCCTGGTCACAGCCAACAAATGGTGTTCTAAAGTCAGCTGCGGGTCCAGGAGGATTCCCAAATTGTGAACCCTCACTGAGGGGCGTATAATGCAGGTACTGAATACTTGCTTAGATGATGAGAAAAGCAACATTCCCTTTATTTAAAATATCCAGTGATTGCAGATCCAGACAGAGACTAAATAATATCAAGTACATAGAGATTTGTCCATGTTCTCCTCGTAATGCTACTTGGAGTAGGAAACTAGGAGTAGAAAAGTTCACCAATCTTATTAATGAATGAGAATATTCTATGCCAGCATCTTTCTTTATGCATCCATGGGACTTGTAATGCATCTCACTGAAGCTTCTAGGGCAGTGTTTCTCAACCTTGGCAACTTGAAGATGTCCGGACTTCCCCGCTGGCTGGGGAATTCTGGAAGTTGAAGTCCGGACATCTTCAAGTTGCCAAGGTTGAGAAACACTGTTCTAGGGATTACAGGAAATAAATATTTGACTCAAGCACAACAGCTATATGCTATCAATTTCTACTACTTTTTTGTAATTAAAAAAGGGAGACATCTCTTCCTATCTTATTTTGATTGTCTAATCCCATTTTTTTCCCCGGAACGCATGCTGTTTATCTTCTTTTTTCACTTAAACACTCCAGGATTTGCACCAATAAGTGGCATGTGCAGTAAATACCGCAGCTGCACTATTAATGAAGATACTGGGCTTGGACTGGCTTTTACTATTGCCCATGAATCTGGACATAAGTAAGTTTGCCAACCTGTTTTTGGAAGAGGAAAAGAATTTTAAAATTAAAATCTTTCCTGCCAAAAGAATGACCAATAGATTATTCTTTTAGATATCCAAACATGCTGTGTGATTTCCATTAAGTAGGGTTACTGCCAGTGGTGGGATTCAAATAATTTAACAACTGGTTCTCTGTCCTAATGACCATCTGGGTAGGTGGGGCTCAGTGGTCATGTGACTGGGTGGGCATGGCCAACTCAAGGTCACTCAGGTCGATGGGCGCTTCGCCTTAGCTGTTCCAATGTAATCAGGGTTAATCGGAGAGGCAGTTTCTGTAAGCAGGGCAATAAAAAATTAGGCTAGAAACAA